CTTGAACCCCCCTTTACATCGTCCACCAAATGTTTACTAACTTCTGTGTTTAACCACCATTCTATTATACGACTGCTTGCTATGCCTGCACGCACAATCCCGCAGCGCACATCTGCAGAAACGCTCGATAATCTAGTTGCCTCAGTGGCCAAAATATTCGACCAAGCCCAAAATACAGCAGCTAATCACCAGAAGAACTATGTCGCACTTTATAAACTACAGTCAGAAGCTTCACAAGTCACAGAACCGGCTCAGAATGGGATGAGCATTAGACTAGTAGGGGAGAAGAAGTTTGAGAATGTGGTGTTGGACATGATCAGTCGCGTTCTTCCCGTAAAGAAAGGCGCAAGTGTCGCGGATAGGATAATGAAGTTTTTTGGAGGTTATGTCAAGTTCATGAATGAGAAAGGCGCGTGTTCCATTGTCTACATAGCTGCCTACTTACATCTTACATACAGCCGCGGAAGAGATAAACCAACACGGCCACCGAGAAGAAGACGAAGATACTCCCGCTGCTAGGTTTGTATCTCGAATGATACGTTTCCTAATTAAAGGCTGCATTGCGAAAGATAAAATTATCCGTTTTCGCGTTTTGCAATGTTTGGCCGAGATGGTCTCTCATCTAGGAGAAATCGAGTGGGCATCTTCATTTTATTGAGTGTTGAGTGATGAAATTTAGAACACCCTTGCAGTGAACCATTGTACATCTCTCTCCGAGAGGCATTGCTGGAGCGCGCTCGAGATAAGGAAATTCCAGTCCGAGTGCAAGCTGTCATCGCCCTTTCCAAGATTTGGGCCTCAGATGACCCGGACACGAACCCCCCTACAATACTGGACGTATTGCTTGACATGTTGTCTTATGACCCCTCGGCGTAAGCATCTAGTTGAAGCCATCAATTTGAATGAACCTGACGCAAATTCGGACATATAGAGATGTTCGGAAAGCCGCACTCCTCAACGTCCCACGCAACCCACTCACAATTGCGGATATCTTGAACAGAACCCGAGATGTAGACCCAACCATTCGAAAGCTTGTCTACTCAATAGCTCTCAATCCAGGTCATGACTCCAATCCTCCTCAAGAAAATCCGGACGGTACCGTTGTAATTTCCGCAGTGCATCCTCGTGCTTCGAGCATAGCTCAACGTGAAATGATTGTCAGAAACGGGTTGGGTGACAGAGAGGACGGTGTGAAAGGCGCTGCTGAGAAGCTCTTGAGCGAATGGTATGATGTTTTGAAAGAAACTCCGGCGATTCCTTCCGTGAAGAAGGAAGATGATCATGCGGTGGAAGCTAGCGGGAGCGGTGGGGCCGGAGAGAAAGAGAAAGATCTACTTATCTTCGTGAAACTATTCGATTTGATTGGGAATGGCTTGGAAATTGAAGAGAATAACGACGAGGATGGACAAGGCGGAGCCAGAGCAGGAGCAGCCTTGAAAGTTGCAGAAGACGCACTGTCAAGCTTGTTCAAGACTAGACCTGACTTGGTCGATATCTGTGAATTCGGAGGTGCGTACTATTCGATACTTTCGTCTGCACTAGAACTGACGTTCGTCTTGTAGATTCCTATTTCGAAATATTGACACCACCGAAAGCCTTCTTGGTCCGTATTTTCCAAACTCACTGTCTCGCGACGAACGAAGTCGCGAAACTGGAAAACACGCTGCCAGTCGTGACAGCTTTAGCTTTCAAAATCCAAGAATCATACAACGATCTAATTTCTCAAGATGATGAGGAACGACAAGTCGCTTTTTTTCAAGGTATGTACATTGATGATGGAATGTTCGGATCGTTTTGCTGAGAAATATGAATAGATCCTGAAGAAGAGAAAGACAGACTTGAAGAAGCGAGATTGGATAAAGAGTTTGTGATTGGTGAATTACTCAAACTGGCTGTTGATTTGGACTACTCGGATGAGATTGGGAGGCGGAAGATGTTTCAGCTCGTTCGTGCGTGTCACTCATCCCACTCTGTCTTCATGTCTACTCATCGCAGTCAAATCTTTCCAACAGGTGATATGCTCTCTCAACACGCACTTCCATCTCCATTCGTTTCGAAATGCGCCGACGTTCTGCGAAAATTATCTTCATCGGAACGTGATCTGATTCGAGTCGTCGTCGAGATCGTACATGAACTTCGAGATCCAGATGAAGAGGAGGAGGAAGAATTACCATCGGTATGTTGCGTCCCGTTCTCCCTACCGGCTCTTCTCCCTTTCTCATCATTTTCTGTGTAGGTAAATGGTAGCGAGACAGGTATCGGTGAAACGCCTATGACAGTGCGACCTGCTCGTACACTGGGATTTGGAGGAGGCAGGAAAAGAGGGGAGGAAGGGGAGCTCAGCGAAGAAGAGAAGAAAAGGAGAGATGAGATTGATGTCAGATGTTTGGATCTGTGTATTGGCATGCTGGAGAGAGTGAATGGGGTGAGCGGCTTCAATATACTTGTTTTCTTTCCTGATCACTGACTCCCAGCCTTTTGGGGCTATGTAGACTTTCGAGGAAAATTCGACATTGGAAGGTATCCTTGGCGAACTTATCATTCCTGCAGTCAAACGGAAAGAGTTGGTGCTGAGGGAGAAAGGTCTCGTCAGCTTAGGACTTTGTTGTCTGATTGCTAGGGTAAGTCCGTTCCATGGAGCCCACCCAATTCACCTTCCAGCTAATTTAAACCCGTCCCTTCTTTCTTTTTCGTCTTTTCGTAGAGGATGGCTTTGAACTCGTTCCAACTCTTCCTATCTCAAGTTCAATCAGCACCTGAAGTTCTCAAAATGAGAGTCTTGCAAATTGTGTTTGATATACTTATGATTCACCAGAAAGAATTTTTGGGCCCGAACAGTCCACATGTATGTCCCTCTCATTCCTTTTTACTCACCCACTTTCTCCTGCTGACTACGATCATAGCGCGAGCGCATTGTCGAATTCATCTTACACGTTCTGGCGAACGAAGAAAGTCCTCAAGTTCAAGCTCTTCTTTGTGTAGGGATAGCAAAATTGATGCTGTCGGGTATGATCACAGATGAAAGAGTGCGTCTTATTATGCTACACTTGTCCTTACACTTGCCTACTGTATACTCGCTTTCAATTCAGGTTCTGAAGAGTTTGGTGTTAGCATACATGTCACCTCAAACGGTTCATAATCAGGAACTTAGACAATGTCTGTCTTACTTCTTCCCTGTTTATTCTTACTCGAGTGGAGAGAATCAGAAGAGGATGCAAGCTGTAAGCCTTTCATCCTGTAACCTCACCTTTATCATTCTAACCTTTGCCCTGTAGATGTTCATATCGATATTCAACCAACTTCGGACAGTGTACCAAGAATGGGACGGGGAGGAAGAGATGATAAGTCCATCTCAAATTGGTTTAATGTTTGTAGATTGGACTGATCCTCTCAAAGCTTCGTGAGCCCCTTCATTGCTCTGGTTTTGTGATGGACTCAATACTGACTTTCTGTGGTTTGTAGGACGGTCGTGAAAGGATTGCCGACCCATAAGTTGGACGAGAGTGTGCATATTGACTTTGCCAGTGACATTGTTAAGGCGTTGTTTGATGACGATTTGAATAGTGAGTTTTTCTCATCCCTTGTACTTTTCTTTTTTTAGTAATTCGGTCAATTATAGAGGAAGAAAAGAAAGCTTTATGTCAACTGTTCAGCAAATTTCACTTGCCAGATGATGTTGATTTCGACAAGATTCGAACATTGAAACTCTTAGTCGTCAATTTATCTTCGGTGAGTGCAAATTCACTTTGACCCTAAGGTAGTTTACAAACGCTTTCTCGTAACAGAAACGTCCTCCTAAAGAAGCACCATCCAAAACCCTGCTCCAAAAATTCGATCACGCGATTTCTACTAAATACACTGAACAACTCTCGAACCTTGATGAACAGGAGTTTAGAAAGCTCGAGAACCTGAAGGAACTCTTTGAATTCTTGGATGATATTATCCCGCTAGACGACAGTGAAGATGAGGACGAGGTCAAGGAGGTCAGGAAGAAGGGTAAGAAGAGGCGCTCTGAAAGTGTCGCTACGGACGGTGGGACATCTATGGGTGGGATGTCTGGTGATGACCGATTTACTCCTGGAGCAAAGACTCAAAGGAAAGGGAAAGGGAAGGGTAAAGCCAAGTGCGTCTCTTTCTGATGTTTCGTTAACACATAATGAGCAACTGACCTCTGCGTTTCCATCCATTTCAGACGTAGAAGGTTGTCGCAATCAGATGAAGACGACGATGATGATGATGAAGGTACTGAACGTGGTGTCACACCTCAACCAGCTCCTACAAGGGTTATGCCTAGACGATCTGCGTATGTCCTTTGATCTCTCTATCCAGCAACAAGCTGAAACTCATATATTGCTTCCCTTGTTTAGAGCTGATAAATCGAAGGCTGCGGTCTCAAAAAGCTTCAAGGAACCGATACAACTCGGGTCGGATGATGAGGACGATGATATTGGAGAGTACGATGATGATTTGACACCACCACCTCCTACACCTCCATCACGAGCCACGTCCGTGTCCTCGACGAGTTCTAGAGCGAAACCAAAGAACGCGTCTGCTCGTTCACGGTACGTTTTCATACCGTTCCTTCATGCTCTAAGTTCAACAAGGTTTAATTAATGTATTGGTTCCTTAAATTTTGTTATAGGCCTTCCGGTTCCGCAGGTGCTAAAACGCAACCTCAAACTCAGAAGGATGGTGATAATGACGATGACGGAGATGAAGATGGATATGATTCGATCATGGACACTACAATCGAAGAAGAGGTGGATGAAGACGACGAAGTGAATAGTATTCTTGGGGATCTATAGGACGATGAGTAATCTTGTATGAATATCTTCCGTAATTTCTTGTAATCTTGGATATGTTTTCTCTATATTGTATGTTGTCTGTATTGATTACGACTTATGACAAGGTTTAGCCTCTATTCCGCCGATATTTTTTCCGTTCATTCTCGTCAGCTGTGCCTATAATTGAATCGCAAACAAACGGCAGGTAAAAATAGATGACAGTGACGAGATTCGAACTCGCGCGGGAAGACCCATCACGGATTAGAGCGACGCTGGTAACGACTCAACCTAAACGTGACGCCGTAACCACTTGGCTACACTGCCTTGTTTGTCAATGAAACTTATGGCAATATGTACTTCTAGAGCAGATTGTATAGCAACATCCGCGCGGTGGTTGGCAGAAACTGCCAAAGACGATCACGACGGCGGCGGACCCACAAGATAATATTTGGCTCTATTGTTTACTGTGTGCATGTCGGTCGGGAGGAAGGAGACTGGGAAAACATAGTCCATGTAAAGGTAAATTACACCGGCGAACCACCGAAACTCGGGAGTATTGACCAGCTGCGTTTATATTTCGTCTAGAACACACACGCCGCAAGTATGTAAACTTAGGCGAATTAATTGCGATGGTACCCATGGGCCAAATTTATAATTCCACACTCAGTCTAAACCAAGCTCGCTCTTTCTGACCAAAAGTAATCGATTCTTCTTTCTCCTTCTCCCTCGCAGATGTCCTCGTCCGTTCACTGGGACTCTCCTCCTCCAGATACTCTCTGTTGAACTGGTTCAACGTTCCAATCCTCTCAACCATCCCAGTCGTACCCTGCTATTCATGCATGATCAGTAATGAAGGATTGGAATGCCCCTGAAGTTTTGTACGAGGATGCTGGTATGTTCTATCTAGTCTTTTGCATTTTTATTCGTCATAATCAAAACAATCTTCCACATGTTTTCCATTTTCTAGTCGCCTCCGTCAAACTCACCTGCGTAATCGTTGGAATATATTTGTCAGTATAGACCTCACTCGCTCAAATCCCCTCATCTTCACATTTGTTACGGGAAACTCAACACATCGCAAAACGAAAACTTACATGCTGCGCATTGACAGCTGGGAGTTCGTGTGCTCTCTTGATTTCGATTTCGAATACTTTCGAGGGAAGAGGAAGTTCAAATGGCCTATTGTAAGTCCCGCAATTCTTTCTTTGGGTGGGTATGTGGGTAACAAAAGTTCTCACCTATTGAAACACGGATTTAGGCGTTCTATTTTTTGAACCGATACATCGCACTTTTTGCTGCTATAGCTTTGTAAGTGACACTTATTCCTATGTAAGAGGAAGAGGGTGGAAGTTTGTTTTCTAACGTTTGGTTTGGCGTTATAGGATTGTATCGCAGGCCTTACCCTTGTGAGGAATCATCCGCTTCTCCCAACTTAATCAATCTTGATACTCAAATTCTATGCGAACTTTCATTGTGGCGCATTGTTTTTCATTGTTACTGGTTCAAATTTACCTAACATAGCTCGACGGACTGTGCGGCATGGTACGCATTTCTTTCGGTGAGTACATTTTTGGTTTAGTGCTTGCGATGCATCGCGGAACCGGTTGGTTGAAACATCTTCATCTTTCTACGCGTATACTAGGTCTTTATCCAGGTATCAGCGAATATGTGTCAAGGTTTAGCAAGTATCAACCTTTCCATTCGAACGTAGGTCCATATTGTCCTAGTTTCTGTAGGTTGTATTTTTGACTCATGATATGAAAACAGAATGGCGATCTGGAACCGCCAAAAAGCGATCGTTATACCCTTGTGTATGTTGATATTCGGTCATTGGACTATCATTATTCTTTGTAGGTCCCCTTGAGTTGTCACTTCACTCTAAGCTGGTTACTGACTTTGCTATCTCATCTTCTCCTTCTCTTATGACCTCTCTCCCTCCCTCTACTTCCTGTTTTGCCTTCCCCTAATGTGTAGCTTTGTCCACGAGACGATCTGCATGCGAGCTGAACTTTTCAAACGAAGTTCGGGGTTTCTACCTAACTTTCTTCGTTTATTCCATGCTGTTCGATTTTATAGTTCTGACTTTATCAGCTATAAAATTGACTCAATTCAGTGATTCGTTGTTGCCTTCCTTTTCGCTTCCTCATGTCAATGTCCCCTTTCCTCATCTTCCAAATGCAGGCAGTGAAGGAGGAAGAGTAGGGAGAGAGGATGATAGTTTGCAGGATAGTCAAGATGGAATGAGCAACAGTAAAAATTATAGGAATTCAAAGTTAGCACAGTTGTTGTTTAGGGATGGATTGGTTTATTTTATCGCCGCGTAAGTCATATCTACTCTCTTTCCCCTTGTAATCTTGCCAATCTCATCAATGTTTATGTAGGGTTTTAAGCAACGTGGTCGCCACAGTGTTCGGTTTCTTAAACTTGAACATGATTCTAAGTCTCATGTGTTCTGTACCCTCGGTGATAAGTTGTACGGTGCGCGTTTGAAAGTTCTTTCTTTCACGCAATACAAAGTAACTGACTGGAACGATATCCTTCCCCCTCCATATTTGTATTCACTCGACGCTCACTTTAACATCCTCACATCATCAAAACTACGGCTCGATTATACGACATTAGATCGCAGCCACAAGAGCCGTTAGAAACCTAGCCCGGTACAGACTTCCAGGACTCGAATTCTTGTTCGTAGTTTTTCTAAAAATCTCCCTCGTCACAGCGACTCATTTCGCTTCTTTATTCTTTTCAGTGATACATCTTCATTACACATGACAACGCCAATCTCACCTATAGTCGATCCACTATCATCATCACCCTCTCCCCGCAACTCTCATTATCGTTCCTCCCTACAATTTCATAACCCTGGCCATATTACACATTCAAGACATTCAAGATATTCCTCGCATTTTCATTTTCATCGTCATTCGCATTCACATTCTCGAACCCATACGAATTCAGCTCATCATCATCAACAACACACACCTTCAAATTCAATATCTCTCCCTCATCTTCCGCATCTTCATCTTACGAGAACAAAAACGAAAACGAGAACGAGTGCATCTCCGCCTAGGATTCCTATCACCATACAAGATAGAGTTACAAGGACCTCATCGAGAACTTCGATGAAAGACGATGAAAAAGAAGAGGGAAGTCTAGGGTCAGAAGGATATCATGACGACAACATGAGGAAAGGAAAGGATGAGGACAAGGGCAGCAGGAAAGAGTTCGGTGATTTTGATTTCGAAGATGTGGATATCCAACTGAATCGTCTGGATAAGTGAAGGAATGACATGGTTGCCGTTTCTTTATCTTGACCTTCCCGACCTGGGAGGCAGAGAAAAAATAAGGAGAAATCAGGTGTACTTATGGGGCAGTTGAACTTCTGCAGAACCACAAACTACCTACAGAAATCACTGTTCGCACAAGGGGATTGGATGTGGCTCAATTTCCGGAATACGACAGTCGTCTAACATTAAATCCCTCAATCTCCCCATTTTTGCTCGGCTTTCATCTACCAGATCCTCGGAACCTTTGTCAAAGTCCTCAGATTCATCCGTCAACGTTCAACCCCTGTCTTCATGACGCCGCCACATCCACTCAACTCAACGATCGACGCTGGTACTTTGGTACTTTCCTCCGATTTTCCTTCTTTGTTTTATTTCGGCCTTGGGTGATCGATACCATGGCCTTTTATCCCATACTTATCCGTATCTGTTGCTGCATTCTTCTACTTGTTTCATTTGTTTCGTCTACCTATCCGTATAGTTAATGTCTCGAGGAACACTTTTTTGGTTGGACTAGTTAGTTCATTGTAGTTTGTAAGATAAAGAAGAGTTTTGCGTATCTAGTTTCTTTGCACCTCTTAATGATACCTACAGCAGAATTTGAATCGGAAAGATCACAATCGGTCGGATACCTTTGAACGAATTGCAGATGTTTGGAAAAAAAAACCCGAGTCGGAAGTTGCCCCTGCGAAAACATCGGGGATTCAGAAAGCAGAGAAGTAGAGGTTCGGAATACATTGAATTAGAGTAGAAACTGGAGTAAATCCACGGTGCCGAAAGAAAATTCTTCTTCTTGAAGCTTGAACCCATGCGTTACAACGACTTGGCGAGGGTACTCCTGAGTGGGTGGCGCCTATTTTTAGTGTGAGCCGTCGTACTTCCCCTAAGTAAGTTAACTTTATGTACTCGTATAAAAATGGAGGGAAATTAGAGAGCTTGCGGAAGCGTTTGTTTCAGGCTTTACATACAGAGGGAGTGAAGTTTGAATTTTCTTGTTTCGAGTATGCATTTCGATGCAGAGCACACCGGGCCCAATCACTGACATTAGAAATTCTACCCTTCAAGCACAAAATTGCATTGAGACTCTCCTTACAAGAGGTCTCTTTGTTACAATGCTAGCAATAAAATTTTCCAGATATTCTGAAGCCCATGATTGCTTTTGGCATTTTTCCTACATTCGAATTTTCTTTCGAGGGCTTCACAGCGTTTGCTGAGACAATCTAAAGTTATACAATTTAAATTGTATTCCCTCCTGGAAGAATTGGTCCTTCCTTCATCGGAGACCGTTCGAACATCCAGGGATCGTGATTGTGGAGAAAATCTTCGACTGTTCCAAATTCTTGGCAACAGTCGTGTATTCTTTCTGCATGCATCGATTCAGAAAGTACGGAAACTCTATGACCCCCTTCCTCCATGAATTAATTTCACGGAAGCCATGTACTCATTTATTGAGAGAATTTTCCAATTCATCGGAACCTTTATCAAAATTTCGGATTTGTTTTGCAGGGTCCTGCTTTCTTTTGTTTAACGATCGGGTTATGAAGGAGGTTACTCGGCGTTCAGTATCATCATGATGTTCACTGCAAATTAGGATGACCGGATACCTATTTTTAGATTATTTCATTCCATCTGTTCGCATTTTTGTAGTGTATTCTCACTGATTTACAGCCCCTTTGTGCAGTTCAAGTGTGTTCGAGAAAAGGTAACAATTAAACATGAACGGTGCTCCCGAAGTTCAGTGAATAGTTTGAAGTTTGAACGTTGAGCAACAATTCCATCTCTCCGACACACATCATGCTGAATTGTGCAAGATTCAGGTAATCGGGATGTTGTAAAGATCTTGGTGACCGGTGAGACAACTCCGCGATGGTGGGTATTTTATTGTGTTCCCACGAATTCGGTCAACGCCAAAGCGTCGGTACCAAACTATTCCTGGCCTAGTTTCTGGTTTTGATTTTGATCAATTTGAGGCACCTCCAAGTTGTCTTGTCATATGTGTGTCTGAATCTCGCCCCTCATCCTCAAGTCTCCATTCACATT